TCCCTCTCTTTAGCTTGGAAGCAAGGTTGGCAAGTGTTGCATCTCCATCCTCAATGACAAGAACTCCTCAAAGCACAAGCTAAAGTGCCATGCTCAATCTCTCTTTATCCTTAGGATTTTTTCTTGGTTTAGTAGGTCATGAAGTTACACTAGCTAACCGAAGCCAAACCATAAGTAACCTAAGCATAGTTACCTACCTAAGCTACACTAGGAATATCTGGCACATGTATGAAGGTCTCAACCCAAGATCTAGGCATGAACCCCAAGGCTTTCATCCATGAACCCAAGAGCATAGGTTCTATCGCCCAACTGATGAAGTTTCCATCACTAGGACGGAGTGTCCGCCAATCCCTGGTCTAGCCACCAACAGCTTAAGTACTCTTTTGAGCGACACAGCAGAGTGTCCGCCACTCATGGCGGAATGTTCGCTGAATTGTCGAGGTGCATAGCCGAAGAACCTAAGAGCACTAACCCCACACTGGAGCATCTGTCACTCATGGTGGAGCGTCCGATGAATTTTCAAGATAGTTACCCAGTAACCCAAGAGTACCTAGTTCATACCAGAGTGTCCGCCAGCCGGTCGGACCATCCGATGCTAACAGTGAACCATAGGAATGACTAAGTCCCAAACCTACGGGAGTCTCCGTGACCTCCCACGGAGTATCTGCCAACCTGTATAGAGCCAAAACAGAGGCACCTCACCTTAGATTCCTGCACAGCGGAGCGTCCATCGCCTAGGACAGAGTGTCCGCTAGCCACTGAGAATGTGAGCTTGCTTAGGTAACCTACCCAAGGGGCCAACCACTACCCGAGGAACCTAACTACTAGTAAGGCAATAGTAGAGCCATAGTTAGGTTTCTCTTCCCAAGTTCCTAATCAACCCTGAATCTCTTTATCTATAGCACAATCGTCTCCAATCCTTGGATCCTCTCTTTTCATGTTTGGTTATCTTGACTAGTGAGGATCGTGTGCAAGTCGTCACTGCTAACTTGGAATTGTCAGGACCGGCAGCATTATCAGGCAGGCACCCCACTACTATAAACCCTATTTTGGATACTTATCGAGTTTCATTATGAGTTGTGCATTACATGTAGTTTTGGTTATTAATCTTATTCACTCTACACTTAGAGTCACTCATTAATCTATTAGAAGCCTCTCATCTAAACAATGGGAATGGAAACGCTTAATTGCTTATTGCTTTGTTGCTTAGCAACGGTAGAAGTCGAGCATGAGAAGGGAACTCATTCTTGCGCATGTAGGATGCTACACTTGGATAATTAATCACTAAAACCAATGAGGGTACAACTTGATTTACTTTACTAGTCTGAATAGGATTCACTTCACTTAAGGTTATAAACTTGAATACCATTTTGGTAACTTCGCTCCTGCGAGCGGTAGGTCATTGTGAGTGTGGGATCTCAAGCGACGTAGCTCGTGGAGCAGTTAAGGACCGTTTATTGGGATACGTGAGTTCGAGTAACCACCCATACAGACCACATGTCGCGGATGGGGTCGACAAGCCAAGTAACTAATTGCGACCGGTTTACTCGTGAAATTGGCAAGGGGGTGGCGTCGGTCAGTAATGTCCGGGACATTGATCGGGCACTAGTCGAACCTTTCATGAGACACTCGGTCTGGATTAAGGAAAGGTTGGAGAACATGAGGCAATCCTTACTACCGGGCCTGGTGTATGGAGGTTAGTCCTATTTCTCCGTGTGGGTACAGTTATACACCTCTATAGAGTTCGAAAGCCTGAAGTCCTTCGGGACGGAACCATTCGGTTGTTCCTACTTTCTATACCCATGGTAGCATGGTTGATGGTTTGGTCACTAAATGTTTATCTCTCATACTCGTCTTTAGCGTTTGAATAATATGTTCATAAGCAGGAATCATGGCATGTCAATTGCTAACCTACTTCATTGCTTCTCTGCAAATGTACAAATGCCTGATAATTACCTTGCATCCACCAAATATTATATATTGGAATTAAGTCCTGTGAGTACGCAATGTACTCACAGTGCTGCCGTTAGGTTGTTTTGCAGGTACGTGATAGAGCGGGTAGAGCCACGTCTCTAACCACCGCTGCATAGTAGCACTTGGAAAGGGCGTTCAATTGTGCTACAAGTTAACTCCGAAGTATCGACTGAGTGATCAAGAGTTGTCAACCTTAGAAGGGAGGTTTAATTTTGTCCATTAGTTGGACCGAATTGTGGAACCTTTGTCAAGATTCTCCTATCTTTAATTAATTAAGTAATAATCAAGTATTATTCATTAGTATATGTCGATTTGTTATCTGGACCGTTGTATGCTACTCAGCCTGATCCTGAAGAGGAGTTGCCAAGGTGCGCTCTGGGGGGCCTCGCGGTGGAAATGTGACAACCTCCGTCGGCCTCGGTCTCGGGACGTGGCGCGACAGCTATCCTCTAGGATAGTAAGTCTGACTAACCCCCCATACAGACCACACATTGTGTATGGGAGCTGTAAGCTGAGCACTTAGTGGTGACTTGCCAATCACGTGGATTCGGCCCAAAATGTAGCACGAGGTAACTCAGAAATGAGTACTTTGGCTCATCGTTGTACCGATCATGGGTTAGAAAGCCACATTAAGGAAAGGTCAGAATCATAAGGCAACCCTTACTCGGGCACGGGTATGGAGGTTCGTCCTTGGTCTCCGTGTGGGTACAGTTGTACACCCTTGCTGAGTTTTCTTTGAATGCCTGAAGTCTTTGGGAGGATTATTTTGGTTGTTCTCTCTTCTGGATTCAGAGTAGTGAGAGTTAATGAACTTGTGTATGAGATGAAATGTTGATCACTTGTTACATGTACACCTTTAACACTTATGAATTGGCAAGTTAGATTAATAACTCATGAGCATGTCATCTTCTTAACATAATGCTTTTCGCAAATCTCACAAATGCCTATTAAATTCCCTCACCAAATACTTATGCTGAAATAAGTCCTCTAAGTACAATCGTACTCACGGTACTGTCGTTAAGCTTTTTACAGGTACTTAAGACTTGGTGACCGCTCGAGCCAAACATGGGTTAAGTCTGGTTTAGCAGATGATGGGATGGGTGTCCCCAAAGTAGTAGTTACTATGATGCTTAGTGATCAAGCGTAAAAGTGAAACTAAAATGGTGGGTTAGTAGGCATTGTCATATTAAGCTTCACCCTGTATGTTGTAATCTCTATTTTTATTTCATGTAAATGTAATCATGTTGTAAATATCTTCAATAAATTTCAATGTATGATCCAGAGCTAAGTGAATCTTGATGATTGGTTTAATCGTGCGAGTATAACTCACGCGAGAGGAGGTTGCAAGTAGCAATTATGTGGACCTCTATATGACCCTGCAGATAGCACCCTGTCAGTCGAGAGGACGACCCAAGGTGCTAGCTTGGTGGGCCAAGGCAGAACCCTCACGGTGGCTGTCCCTCACACTTCATCTCTACATATGTCCCATCTGTATTATGTATAATTATACAGCCCAAAAAATGAGCTAATATTTTTTTCTTCAGAGCAATACGATGAAAATAGAACATAGCGAATAAAAGTTTGATGGGTTTATTTGTAATAGCTGAGCGTATCAACGAAAAAAATAATTGAGCTAGGACAGAAAATTTTGGTTTCGTATTCTTTTTGTGGCTTCAAAGTACTTCATAGCTCTTCATAATCAATTTCTTTAAATATCAATTGTATTTTTTACTTATTTAATATTATTTAGCTGAAGGTGTTTGTGTAGGTATAGATATGTATATATAGCTGTTTCCAATTGGTGTATTGCATGTTAGGTTTTTCAGTTTGTTCACATAACTGAACTATGCGTTCATGTAATAATGTCGATTGGATACAAATAGAATATTGTGAAGATCACACACAAATATGGTTTTCCAGACATGTGCAAATCACAATTATCATGATGTTATTTTTTGTTACCGTTATAACACACAAGTATAATTCTAGTAAATATTAGAAATTTGACTTTAAGTATTCAGATTTTTATACAGCACAGATATTGAATATTTTGAATGATATATAAATTGTTTATTTATTATTTGAAACCCTTTGAAGACAAACATATATCGTCAAATATGGGTCCGGCTTTCACCCCTGCTGTCTACCTTCCGGTTCCGTTATGACTTCCGTGAACTGCATTTGCCAGGTTAAATTTATTGCGCCGAAACACACCCAGCCGTCACCACGTGGTACGTATGCCACCTTTTCGATTTCTTTCGTATAAGTTTTAAAACTCCCTTTGTTCCAAATTATACATAAGTCGTTCTAGTAATTTTGGATATATATTTTTTTTTACATCTAGATATAAGCTATGTTTAAATACATAATAAAACCATATATCTTGAAAAGACAGAATAACTAACTTAAAACGGAGAGAGTACAGTATAGAGTATCGAACTTGACTATCTATAATCTAAGAGCAACTCCAAGAAACTCAGTATATCCTTTCTAATTGCTACGAATAAAGATTTAATGAAAAAAATACACTTCAACTTCTTTATTTAGTTATTATTTAAATATAATCATCTTCTATTCAGATTTCTCGCTAACTAAAGATAAAAAACGAGAATGGCTCCCTAAAGTACACACAAGATATAGAAAAACTGTTAAAGAGTGAAGAGAGATAGAAAACGATTTTTATGCAAATGCCTCTCCAAAATTTAGAGAGTGAACTTTACAAAGACCCTTAGATATGCTCTAACCATGTTGATAAACAACTTGCGACATACATTACAATCTTCAGTTTCCGACTTTCAGCCATCCACTAATTATGAACGGCAGGCAAAAGTCTAAACAATCCTCTGAACCTTTTGGTACGCTACCAGTAGTACAGGAGAACGAGCACTAAACAACGAGGGAATGTTATCAACTTGTATCTAGCTAACAAAGTTGAAGATATGAATGTTGTGAGTTCTCGTTCCCGAGTAACTTCCGGACAAGCAAGAAGAGACTAGACGAAAGACAATAAGCAAAATGGCTCTGCATCATGTGACAAAATGTACCGCTTGCTGCTTCTGTATCATGGCCTGGTGCTTCTGCCCCGCAATGTGGAACTCGTACACTTTTTGGCTGTTCACGACAACATTGCACACTCCGCAGATTCTTACTTCGTCCTGCACTGCTCCAGCCTCAAGCACTCGCCTCTTCTTCACCTCGAGATCTTCCAGGGTTGCTGCTGAGCAGCTCTTTTTCTTCTTCGGCTGTACACAGGGCACCACACAGTTGGATACAGCAGCAGGTGCCATACTTGGACCAATGACATTGCTTGGGGGCTTTATAATTGGTTTAGGGGTGATCGAGTCTTGTAATTTCTCCAAATTTTTCTTGTGCTTCTTCCCCTGCTTATGGATCATGAGAACCTCTAGTGTATCACACTGAATCTTGCACACCTCACATGGTGCTGGTTGCAGAGCCTTTGGCTTTTTCTTTATTTGTTTCCTCAAGGCATATTTCGGCACGGGATGCCCAAAATGAGCATTCCAATGGGCATGGTGCATGCCTGGGGCTGCAGTTGGTTGTGTTATTCCATTGGAGGCTCTGGCAACTGCTGCCTACAGAAAGATTATCTGTACCAGGTTAATAACAAGGATCAAGACAGAAAAGATATCATGTAGCTATAGTACATGACATTAAGTATAACAAATCTAAGCAGTACTATTGTACACATGATGTGGTTTCCATGCAGCTGTACAACACATAACACAGGGTGACCAAACAGTGATAAATACAAAGAAAATCAGGGCACAAATTGAGGTTGTAAAACACTTGAAGGTCTTAGAGCTTGATGCACAAAAAAAACTTGTAAAAATCAATAGGACGGGCGTACCCAGTGCAGAGAGCTCCCGCTCTGTGCGGGGTCTGGGGAAGGATGTCAGTGACAAGCCTTACCCTTGCCTGTGCAATGCGAGGAGACCAATAGGATGGGGAATTAAAAATGGCAAATCCTTTTCTACAATAATAACCACGTAAAAACACTACAGTGCATACTGTGGTAATCCCTTTCATGTGATACATGCATAGCAAATCAGGGAAAGTGTGAGAAGCCAATGAGCTAAACAGATCAGTACAATATGCTGTACAATTTATCTTTGGTAAACAAACTGCAAAGCTATACTGAGACCAACATGCTAGGACAAAGCAAAATGAAATTAGAATGTTCCTTTGGCCACAAGGAGACAAGTATGTATTTCAATGTTTCCAATACTTCACTTCAATTTTCACTTGCAATTTAAAGTTGAATTGATTCCCTTAATCATATTTTCTTATTGAGAACATACCCATTGCACATCACTAGCATTTTCTTCCACATAAAGCATGAATTATGGCACCTTTGCTCAGGTTCCCTTTCTCAAAAAAACTCGGTTGGTGTCTCCTAATCAGAGTGCTTTTGTCAAAGGAAGATGCATCCATGATAATTTTATTTTGGTTCAGCAAACAGCCAAAGTGCTTCACAATCTGAAAGAGCCTAGAATCCTTCTAAAATTGGACATTAGTAAAGCTTTTGATTTGTTGTCATGGGCATTTTTGCTGTAGGTTTTAAGACATTTGGGTTTTGGACCAGTGTAGTGCAACATGTTGTCCAAACTCCTATGATCCTCCACAACAAGAATTTTAGTGAATAGTGTGCCGGGCAAGTTGATTCAGCACCTAAGGGGACTGCGCCATGGGGATCCTTTATCCACGATGCTCTTCATAATGGTCATGGATGTTCTAAATGCCTTGATAAATAAGGCAAGTGATATGGGATTACTGCAGCCTCTCCATCCTCGTGGCTCTAGTTTAACGGGTTTCTCTATATGCCGATGATGTGGTCCTCTTCTTGTGGCCATGTACAGAATATTTAGAATTAATCAAGGAGATTCTCAGGGTAATTTGGAGAGGCATCTGGACTGGTCACCAACATTAGAGTCTTCTCTGACTCCAATTCAATGCCATGAGCAAGACATCATAACTGTCCAGGCATCTATCACATGCACAGTACAGGATTTCCCTTGCAAATACCTTGGACTTCCATTAGCAGTCAAGAAGCTCACTAAGGCTGATTTTTATGGCATAATTGACAAGATAGCCAACAAATTACCTGGGTGGAAAGCAGCAATGATGAACTCGGCTGGGAGAGCAACTCTTGTCCGAGCTGTGCTTACTGCTATACCTATTTATCAACTCATTGCTTTGGATTTTCCAAAGTGGGCAATAAAAGCAATTGATAAGATAAGCAGGGTTTTTTTATGGAAATGTCGCAAGCAGGTGAATGGAGGCCATTACCTAGTATCTTGGGGAAGAGTCAACAGACCTATTGATTGTTGGATATGTAATTTGCTGGTCCCTCACCCCTTTCTGTATAGGAGCACTTCTGCAGTGACTGCTCCCTCTCCTTTCTCGTCAATAGGACACTAGTAATGCAGAGTATGGCTATAGTACAAGTAGTGGGAGCATGGCTCCTGGTAGTGGGCAGCATGGCCCCTCGTTGACTTGTACATATTCTGAATTCCTATATATGAGGATATGGCTAGCTGCAGCTAAGTAGTTCACAACCCCATTTTCACATGTGCTCATGTGTGTGCTCTGTTCTCATCTTCTTTAGCCTCCAGTGTGTGGCTGAGTGAGAGTGGTGATACACACGTGTGACAAAGCTGGCCAACAAGTGTTACCACATCTGTGGTTGGTTGATCTCCGGTGATGTCACGAGCAGGGGGAGGGCGTTCTCTGTCCCTATACCGGTGTGAGTGTCGGACGTCTATGTCACCAGAGCGACGCCAGCTCGTGGTGTAGAGGACGGTGAGGGAGGTAGGAGAGCAGTATCCCACACTCACCCGCACCAACTACGGCGAATAGGCGGTGTTGATAAAGGTGATGGGGACTACAAGGCCATCACATTCCGCGATGGGGAGGCGGTGGAGTACTTCGTGTTGTGCCTACAGTTGCTTGTGAGCTAGCTCGTTGTGCTTGGCGAGATCATAGACGAGCAGGGTGGTCCCACCCAAGTTCATGCAGATCGCGCTCTTGATCGAGACCCTACTCGATCTGTCCACCCTCAGGATTGAGGATGTGACAGGGCGACTCAAGGCGGTGGAGTATTGAGTCAAGGCGGCAGCGCACACAACGATAGGTAGAAAGCTGCCCCTAATGGAGGAGTGGGCGGCTCGCATGTGTGAGCGGCAGCCCACGGGACAACGTCAGGGGAAGCCGCCGCCGTGGAAGAAGGATGGTGGCGCCCACAACAAGGACAGGCCACGGAATCGCGACCGCAACACTTTTTGCAAGTGCAGCAAAACGGACCACTAGGCCCGGGACTACAAGAACGCCAAGCAGGAGCTGGAGCATCTTAGGACAATGAGCCGGCGGTCCTGAGGGTGCAAGTCTGAGCGCAGCAAGTCTGTGCGCTCAATGACGCCACAGAGCTCGTGCCACACCAGAAGGTCATCCTCGATGAGCCGCGCGCCCAAGTTCACATCGGGTGTGAAGGCGGCGACGTAGAGCAATCCTGGTATCTCGACACCGACGCCAGCAACCACATGACCAGGAGAAGGGAGGCGTTCGCGGAGCTTGACATGGGTATTGTCGATTCCGTGAAATTTGGCAACAGCTCCATTATGGACATATGCATGCGCGGCACAATCCTGTTCTAGTGCCAGACTGCGGAACACCGGGCACTGATTAGGCTTCGGTCAAGCATCATCAGCATCGGGCAACTGGATGAGTGGGGCTGCCAAGTGCTGGCCAGCCATAGAGTCCTGCGTATCCGGGACGACGGACACCGTCTTCTCTCCAAGGTGAATTGCTCCAGGTACTGCCTTTATGTTCTTGATCTTCACCTGGTGCATCCGGTGTTGGCGGCACGGCAGCATGACGAGTGCACTAGCAAGCCTCGTGGCCCATGAGATGGTGCGGGGCCTCCCACATACCAAGCATGCCAGCGAGCTCTGCGCTAGCTGCCTGGTGGGGAAGCAGAAGAGGCTTCCATTCCCAAAGACCATGAAGTACTGTGCAAGCGATCGTCGAGCTCGTGCACGTGGACCTTTGCGGTCTAATCACTTGAGCACCATCAGCCGCAGATAGCTTGGCGTGAGTGTCAACTGGAGTGCTACAAGGCTTGCAGTCAACCATGCAAGCCCGCTGAATGATATCCAGTGTATATTGCTTCTGGGCTAAGAACAGCCCATTGGATTTCCTCTCAACAGATATGCCCAAGAAATGGTGCAGAGGACCAAGATCTTTCATGGAAAATTCTTGCTGCAAGGCGGAGATGGTGTGGCGGAGGAGAGAGGCACTCGACGCCGTAAGCACAATGTCATCCACATACAGTAGAGGTAAACTGTTTTAGAGCCTTGGTGATAGATAAACAGTGAAATAAGTGAATCTAAGTTTGAGAAGGTATGCAGCAAAACAACTGTACCAGAAACGTGCTTACATGACGTGTTTGTATTTGTATAGTCATCAATGATAAAATCATACAAAAACATGCTTATACACTCTGCTCTTATCTGATACGGATAGAAACCCTACACACATTGTTCCTGGATAAGCAAAGGATGGGACTATTGGTGCAATTGTATCCAGAAGTATTGATACTGTGGACCATAGTGGGCAAGTCGCACAATGCATTAAAATTCCTGCAGATGGATGGCTCACAACAACAGCATTAAAAAAAGGAAGCTTCAATGTAGTTATGTTGTTAGGCCATGCAACTAAACAAGACAAGGCAGCAACCTCAACATTGGACAAGAGGGGGGGGGGACCTTAATATATTAGAATAGCCTAAAATCTATACAAGCAACAAAAAAAAAAAAGGGGGCGTACCCAGTGCAGAGAGCTCCCGCTCTGTGCGGGGTCTGGGGAAGGGTGTCAGTGGCAAGCCTTACCCTCGCCTGTGCAATGCGAGGAGACCGCGACTCGAACCCGGGACCTTCCGGTCACAGGCGGTAAGACTCTACCGCTTGCACCAGGCCCGCCCTTCCTATACAAGCAACAGAAATCTGAAAAATTTTGTTACAGTTTCTTCTTTTCCTTGTCATAAGTAGATCCTTCCACTTTCATTAGAAGGATAAAATGTGACTATTCACTATTCATCACACACAAACAGATGTACACATTAACAGTCCAGTGTACAAAAATGCATTCCATTCAATCAAATACAGTATTGAACATGAGATCCTAAACCATAAGAACAGAGCAGCGATTGTAAAACCATGTCGTCGCCATATTTCCAGATAACAAAAAAATAAAGACTTCCTACAGGAAATGAGGTTATTTTACATAATGCAAAACATAGGATGTTGTACATGATTGATTATATGAATTTCTACCTTGCCAGTATCATGTGGAGGAATCCATTCAGTAATGTTAAATTAAAATTTAAAGCAAATATTCTGAAATATGAAGTTCTCACCAGCTGCGCACTACTCCTTGCAAATGTCTTTTAGGTCAGTATTTAACCAGGTTTGTTTAAATGTCCAAGTACTGCTGTGCCTTTCCTATGCCTAATCTAAGATGTATTAGTCTATGTTGATGCCAACATAAAAAAAGCAAGCTGATTACTTTCCTATGCCTAATCTAAAATTGTCATAGTCTACTGCTAATGCCAAGATGCCTAATGGATGGTGTGCTTCCTAAATGTAGTCTTGCGGTATTAGCATCATGTTTGCAATCACGGGACTAATAAGGATTCATTGATCTGCTCCTCTCTTGGAATACGAATCAACTGTCGTAGTTTTCGAATGCAATTTTCGTTTGACCTTGGATTGTGTTGCAGGCTGCTGAATTGATGGTGGGGGTGCATCAAGCTTTATTTATATGTTTGTAAATATCAATGTTATCTAGGATCGATGCTACAGAAGGATGGAGATATTGATGCAAACATTTGCCATAGGATCAAAGCAGGGTGGATGAAGTGGCGCCAAGCATCCGGCATTCTCTGTGACAAGAGGGTACCACAAAAGTTTAAAAGGCAAGTTTTATAGAACGACGATTAGACCCGCTATATTTTATGGAGCAGAATGTTAGCCTACAAAAAGACGACATGTCCAACAACTGAGTGTTGCGGAAATGCGTATGTTGCGTTGGATTTGTGGTCACACAAGGATGGACCGAGTTCGGAATGATGTTATACGTGATCGTCTAGGGGTAGCACCAATTGAAGAAAAGTGTCGGTGCAGAAAGTGACCAACACATAAATATTTGTAGTTTTGCCGTACGTTGTGATCGGATGTGGCCTAACACTCAATGACACAGGGTTTATACTGGCTCAGGCAACGTGCCCTACGTCCAGTTTGAGTCGGTCGGTGACTTTATTCCTGAGCCCAGGTGCTCGAAGTTTGTTGTGGGGTTACAAACAAGAGGGAGTAAGATGGGGGTATCAGGGGTCCGGTCGGTCTCCGGATCGAAGGGCCGAGAGTGACGGGAGCTCCGCTGTGCGCTAAGTGTTCGAACGTCTCTTGTTCGCTGGAATCCTTGGTCGTTCGGATTGATCCTGTGTGTTCGAATCGTCGTCTGAGAGTCGTCCCTATTGGGAGAGAGCGCATCCCCTTTTATAGATGAAGGGGATGGCTTTACAAGAGAGAGAGGGAGAGAGAGAGAGTGTACGTATGCTACTAAGTCTTGTTGCCCACGCCGTCGGGTACAAGATAATTGTAGGCGCCCACAATGCTATTAATGTCAGATGCATATGGGAGGTTTTACCGTGTTCACCATGTATGGCAAATGACGGCGCCCGCAACACTGTTGATGTCCAGAGGCATGTGGGGGGTTTTACTGTGTCCGCCTGGTATGAAAATTGATGACGCCCACAACACTGTAGGGCAAACGTCGGCGCCCACAACACTGCTTGGGTTCTGACATGCCTGGAAGGTGGCAGGGCACCCTTCTGACATGCCCTGTCGGTACTGTCCTGCAGGTAGACAGGGTACGGTCCTTGGTATTGCAGTTGACTTGAGTGCCCTGCCTTACTTGCTCCGCCTGTTTCCTGGGTCCTCACCGAGCGGGCGTCCCCGGTCGGTTGGTCCCAGGCGACTCCGATTGCGTCAGTCGGAGAAGAGCTGTAAGCAGAGGTTCGGTGCATCCCCGGTCGGAGACGCGGGTCGGAGTCGGAATCGGCGTTTCGCCAGGCCTTCTGGTCGGAGAGGCGGGCCAGAGTCGAAAGCGAGCGTTGTCCTTTCCTTGGCTAGGCTTTCCGGTCGGAGAGGCGGGCCGGAGTCGGAAGCGAGCGCCGTTCCTCCTTGGCCAGGCCTTCCGGTCGGAGAGGTGGGCCGGAGTCGGAAGCGAGCGCCGTTCCTCCTTGGCCAAGCCTTCCGGTCGAAGAGGCAGGCCGAAGTCGGAAGCGAGCGTTGTGTTAGTCGCTGAATTCTCACTCTTGGTAGTAGGAGAATTCTTACTCTCATCGAGAGAGGATGACAATAGGAGTTGGGGCAATTTTCTTGTCTATTTCTTACTCAAATGCCATGCCAATCTGATGGGTTGGGGTTACATATTTATAGGCTGCTAGCCAGCCAAGCATATGCCAAGATGCTAGTCTAAGATGCTAATCTAAGATGCTAATATGCTGTCCTAGCTAAGATGCTGTCCTCTAGTCTAAGATGCTGTCCTCTAAGATGTTGTCCTGCTGTCCTCTAGTCTAAGATGCTGTCCTAAAAGCAAAAAAACAGCCACAAGGACCATGTGAGCGGTACAGCCCCACAAAGACCACACATGAGACTTATCCATCACGTTGTCCCTTCTTGGCCAGGCCTTCCGGTCGGAGGTTGGATTGCTCTTCTGATCTGTCGTTAGGTTTTTGGGCCAGCCCAGGAGTTGCGCGTCGTTCGTAACGCCATCTGCTGGGCCGAGCTTTTGCTGGGAAGCGGGTCCATGAGGGACCTCGGGTTTATGAACCCGACAAAAAGCTTGTCCAACATCGGTTGAGGTGGTTTGGCCATGTCCAAAGAAGACCTTCAGAGGCACCAGTGCATTGTGGAGTCCTAAATCAAGATATTAATGTGAGGAGAGGTAGAAGAAGATCAAAGCTGACATGGGGGAAAGCAATAAAAAGATATTTGAAAGGTTATGATATACCTAGAGATCTTTGTTTGGATAGGAGTGCTTAGAAAGCAGCTATTGACGTGCTTGAACCATGACTAGGGGCTTATGTTGGATTTCAACTTTAGCCTACCCCAACTTGCTTGGGACTAAAAGGCTTTGTTGTTGTTGTAAATATCAATGTTATTATAAGTCAGACATAGGCAACGCTATTTCTTGATAACACAATGTTTTTATAAGTCAGGTTCAGATATGTTTTTATAAGTCAGTTTCAGATATGAGCAATGCAGTTTCTACATAATTACAAGCCTGTTCATTTTTATTCTGTAATTTTTCCTTTCTATAGAAGGTGGTAGGATGCGATGTTTGCTCTCATTTCTATGATTATGACTACGCTTTAGATAAAATTGGTTGAGTTCTGAAGTGAATGAAACAAGAGTAAAATTTTTTGTCTAGAATTTTAGATATGGAGTAGTATCTACAATTATCGAAGTGCTTGATGCTTGTAGCATGAAATCAGGTCCAAGGTAGTTTCATATAGTATTGGTAAGACAGCTCTGGTTGATGATATTAAGAAGATTAGGGAGGTATAAAGTCCTTGAGGAGCTGATGGGAGCTTGCCTTCCATGCCGTCCATTCACACACCTGAGGCCTAGTTAACTACTTTATGCTTCACCCCAATGGGCCGACCTACCTTCTCAAGAGATAGGAACAAAATAACTTCAACCAAAACCAAAAGATTGAAATAAAATCTAAAAATACAATTTCATACCCAATCAATTGCTCAAGAGCTAATCAGATGAAATAATCCCCTCAGTGCATCACATATATTATGTATTTTATCCATGAAAAAAGAGAATTGATTAGAACCTATCTGTGGTCATGTAAGATACAACAAATCTAACCATGTGACGCACTTCTTCTAGATTACTTCTTTTTCAACCTAGCATAGAAGGGATATAATTTTGAAGTTTAACAATTCACAAAATAACAACGAGATTTTTATTAAACAAAATATAGTATGATTCTTTAATAAATGTAACCATGTGATGCCCTTCTTCTACATTACTTATCTTCCAAGCTATCCTAAAAGAGTTATAATTTTAAAATGCAACAATTCACAAATTAACAACTAAGATTTTTATAAAACAAAACACTATGGAGGAATGTTGATCAAATGATTAGGCAAACCTCATTAATTGGTTACATAAAAGAACGATTTTACATAGCTTGGCCCCTCCTACATTTGTCATCAAGCTCCACCACTGTTAATCAGGCAAACCTCATTGCTTGGTTACATAACGAGATTAAGGAATCAAACTACCTAAGATTTGCTCAATTGCACTTAGCAAACTTCCCTCTAATTTACCAAGCCTCCGATTCTTAAGAGATCAAATCTCATAATTCCACCTAAATTTACGGCGTACAAACAAAAACAAATAAATAAAACTCGGAGTCAAAACGGAATCCAGGGGCGTCCTAACCTGCGCGTAGCGCTGGGGATCGAAACCGAATTGCTTGCCCGCCTCCTTCGTGGTCGCCGCCGGAGCAGCCTGCGTCGTCGATGTAACCGCGGCCTGCTGCGACGCCTCGCCGACGGTGAAGTAGTAGCCCACCAGGCCAGCCCTAGCGGCGCCTCCTCCCTCCGGGGGACTGTAGTGCTGGTAACCCGTGTAAGGGTCGTACTGCACGGCGGTGGACGGCACGGCGGCAGGGACGGGGTAGTAGTAGGATGACGAGGCGGCGGCCGCGGCGGAGGGGTACGTGGCCGGGGCTGGTTGGTGATAGGCCCCGTAGGGGTAGGAGTAGCTAGCGTACGGGTGCGGGTAGTGGGCGTGATCGGTGCCCGGCGCCGGCGCCGGCGCCGGCGCGTTAGTAGCGGCTGCGGCATAGTCCATCGCGGTGATGCGATGCGAATGCGACCGTGAGACCGCGGTTCCGGGTGGATTGTGGATGCAGGAGGGTCGGATCATTTGTGTTTGTTTTTCATTTCATTTTTTTTTAAATACTGCCCTGTACATACAAAGATGCAGAGGTTTCCTACTGCTACCGTTACCATTCTCAGAGTTTTGATAAGTACCGTTACTATTCTTCTATTCTAAATCTTACCATTACAATTCTTCGATTCCTTGAAATACGCCATGGTATACGTTGAATGAATTGTAGTACACACCCACTAATTGTTAAATAGTTCACAAAAAAATGGATTGGATCGAATTCCTATATTAAAATAACAAGAGAACGAAAACAGGCAGGAATAGAAATACGAGGCAGTTAACAAGTGACATTGGAACGTGCTTACTTGACTTCAGTAAGAAAAGAAATGAAAGGACCCTACTCATCACAACGAACGGTGAGCTTTCCCACTAGCCTTCACAAGAGCAGCACAGTCATGGTCAAAAACAAAAATAAAACATATCATAGTACGAGAAAACCAATGACATTTATCTATTCTAAGTTGTTTCTTATTTTCTGTTTAGAGGACCCAGCCAACTCTAATTCCAATGCCCTTACCCTTGCTTCTTTCCCTTTAAACTCTTTGGTACACGCTTTATCGAGACTAGGATTTCTGTCTTACCCTAGGTGAAACCTATACTCTCCGCCTCGCCTTTTTCCTCCCTCATGAAATCCAAATTTCCTGCAATGAAATTTGATTTCGTTCATGTCGGCGGTTGACAAAACGGCCCTAAGATCCGAGACTGGTAAAACATGGGTGCCCCATTTTCTCTTCCATGAGGCACAAACAACGAAATAGTCCTTTTGGATTGAGCATTTTAGGAAGATTCAATAAGCTTTTGCAACTATTCAGTCATATCTTTTGATAGGAAGTTCTAAATCAGGAGATATTCAGTAAGACTCAAAGGATCCAAATTCGTCTTTCTTTCTTTTTTAGAATTCCTACAGCAACTTTATACTTCTTTTATAAGATCTATACGAATCCGATGCGGGTAAGAGTGCTTCCCATTTCTCTGGTCCTATATGTTTTTTTGCAAGTACCATTCCTGCTATTCGCATTGATTGAGTACTTTAGAGTCTTGATGGAAGTGTCAAATACTTAGTAGGAAGTTCCAGTGGGTAATCGCCAAATGTTCTAGTACGAATACATCCAGTTTCGGGTGGTCATCTAGTATGGGACCTAAGAGAAGCCCTTTTTATCGACGAAATATGGTCGGCAATCTACCGAAGGGTATGCTCACGATAGTAGATGAATCGGTGGAGATGCGCGAGATACGAACTAGATGATGACATAGGCGTAAAGACAGCTATTTAGACATGTTCAGGCCATCAAGTCGACGTAATACCCTATGCCCTGTGTCTTTGGTGGATTGTATATATGAGGAGATGAAATCGAGGGGGGTCCCTACCCACCTTATATAGCATGGGGGTAGGGTTACAGGTTGGTTGAATCTAATCTTGATTGGTTACACGATATGTGTTTACAAGGAATACGACATCTTAGCATATCCAATAAGATCTTTCTTCATAATCAAGGATCCTTCACGTAGTCTTGCGGCGTATGTCGACCAGTACCATGCACCGCGTGGCTTGATCTTATGGGCTGGGCCTTCCCTGGCTGTGTCGCCCATGTATGGTCCTGTGGGTTTCCGAGGTTATACCACCACAGCTAGTCCTCGAGCACCTTGTATTCGCTGAGCAATGCCGTCTTGGGCTTGTCCGAGCGGTTCAACTTGTAGCCGATCAACGGGAGTAGGCATCCGACCAGTTTAACTAGAAGCCGAGCGATTAAATTAAACATTCGACCAGTTTAACTAGTCACTGACCTCAGACTTACTCAAAACTAAGGTTTGCCAGAAGGATGCAAGGAGCTCAAATTTAAAATTTAAAAACTCTTCATCTTAGATGAAGTGTGCCCATTTAGGTTCTGTGTGGCGAAGTTGGATGCTTCACATCCCTGACTTAGTTAGTGCGGAGGAACTTAGTCCCTCATGGTAGGAGTTGGATGGTGAGCATCCATGCCTTAGGCAAAAAGAGACTCTTAGAGCCAAACTGAGAGCTTGGATGATTATCATCCATGACTTAGTCATTTAGGAAAAACAGTGGGTCCTAGAAATATGCACATTCATCACGAGGTGAAGTGTACCCACTTAGTCCCTGAGTCTGACAGTATGTGAAGTATTCATGTAGTGCCAGGGTAAAAAATAGTAGACTCCAGATGCCAAACCAGTCCCCAGCTTGGCTGGATACCAGTCCCCAGCTTAGCTGAGAAAAAATCGATATAGAAAAAATAGTACAGTCATCGCTAGATGACGTGTACACACGTAGTCCCCGAGCCTGCTAGAAGAGTAAGTATAAATCATGTGGCAGGATCAGAGAAAGAATGCTTTTGATAATCCCAAAAATATCAACGGAACTTTACATCACTTGCAACCCATGTGGGACACAGCTTCGAGTGTGATTCCGTTAGGCCCATTTAGCGGCCTAGGAAAGCGCGCGAAGATTTCGAAAGCGAACGTGGCGCGGTATGGCGCGGTTTCCCAAAAACCCTGGAAGTCAAAAGGTTGGGGTCGAATTGATATAAGTTCACCGCGCCACCGCCTCACACTCCCATTTCTCCATCGCATCATCTTCTTCCTCACGCACACGCCTCCTTGTCTACATCCACTCCGCCATTAGGGCAAAATAAATCACAAAGCCACCTCCGCCTCGCCAGATTTGCCCGATGGTGCCAAGGAAAAACCGCACAGGCACAAAGAAAGCAGCTTGTGAGACCAACCGCGATGAAGAGTGGGTGCCATCGATCAATAGTGAGGTGGCCCTCAAGAGTCTAGTGGAGCATGGCGTCCTCCCATAGAGAGAGACGAGGTGTGGCGTCCGGCAGCCGGTGAGCCATTTCCAATGCCCACACCAACGAGCTCGTTGTGCATGAGGATTATTTCTTCCACGGTTTTGGTGTTCCTATTCAGCCCTTCCTTCGTGGTTTGATTGTCTGTTATGGCATCAGCCTCTGCAATCTGAACTCAAACTCTATCTTGCACGTTTCTATCTTTATCAATCTCTATGAATCGTACCTTGGGATCCTCCCTCATTTTGATCTGTTTCGCCATTTCTTCTGCCTCAAAATCAAAGGGGGGAGTGGCTCCAAGGTGGTCGGTGTTGCTTATCTACAGCTACGGGATGGGATCATGAGTAAGTCACCGCCCCACTTAACACGTCTCTGAAAGGGTGGAACTCCAAGTTGTTCTACATCAGGCAGGAGAAACTGTATTTGCCGTGCGATGTGGATCAGGTCCCAATGAGCAACAAGAAAGTGCTTAGTGAGGCCCAATCTGAATTGTATGGAGCAGGTGAAAGAGATCTTGACATTCTTGGATCGTAAAAGGGTTGATGGAGTTTGTGTTGCGACGAACTTTATTTTTTGATGGATTGAACCCTGTAAAGAGACGGTGCACCCTAGATATGAATTCAAGGGGGAGGCTGATGGTACTTGTGAGGTGCCCGAGCAGATAGAGCGAGATGAAGTCCTTCATCTCGCCGAGATGTTGTTCAACACTGTGGCGCACATTGCCATCAAAGGGCCACAAAGAGCCTTCAACATTACGAATCCTCCTCTGCCGGTAATAATCTGCCTGACGTGTATACTTCTACTTTGACATTGTGTGATGTACTCATTCATGTTTTTGAAGATTCATGGATAGGACTAGGCGGTATACTTCTCTATCGTGCCATCGAACGATTGGCCGACCACTGTTGATGCCCGGTCGAGCAGTCCCCAGCGTTAGTCCAGCTCGGGAGCAGATGAGGAGAGGTCGGTCGCCCCTTGAGATGAAGACGAAGGGGAGCGATCCACCTATGTTCGTGAGAAGGTTCGGGGAAAATGGCTAGCAGAAGACAAGCCGTCCCCAAAAAAGAGAAACATGTTGAGTTCCTCTCGTCGCGATACGGGAGGTGTCAGCATTGGAGGCCCCGCCCCGCCCTAGAGGCAGAAGATGGTCATGTCAGATTCGTCTGGTGATGATGAGACGGTAGTTCCTCCTCCTTCGACCATCATGATGACCCCGCCAGCTACACGCGCTAGGGCAGAGACGAGGGAGAGACACTGAGCATGGGTGGCTGCTAGCCAAGTCCTCGAGCCTGCTAGGGTGACCACGGCGATGGTGGTTGAGGCCACAAGCCTGAGGACTATGAGGGTACCAGTTGGCCCTATTGTTGGGTAGGGTGGCTCAGGGAGGTCGCGCTATTTCAAGACGATTCGGTGAGAGTCAGAATTGTAAGTTTTCTTCATTCGCAACAGTTATTGAGTAGAAGGTTGATGTTTGATGAAGTAATTCCTTGGCACAGTGCTGAATTGACTGAGGATCTACATCCACTAGGCGTCGCTGACAGTCGGCATGAGGCGGAGCCGGTGGCGCCAAGCACCAAATAGACCCAGGAGAGAGAGGACCTAGTTGCTCTGACTAATGAGGGGCAGTCATCGGCTAAGGGGCCGACCACTGCCAGCGGTGAGGCTCATGGTGAAGAAAGGCCAGCTAGCATGCCGACCGGTACGAAGACACCAGCTGCAACAGGCATGCTAGTCACCCCTATAGGAGGAGGAGCTGAACCCTCAGGGGATGCGCTGGTTGGTGAAGCGTAGGATCCATCCGCGCCCATGGGATAGACGATGCCCCTAGTGACATAGCCTATGGAGATGGGCCTCGGAGGTCCTGCCCGACCATAGCGCCATCCGAGGAGGTCACCTCCAAGGGAAGCCGATGTGGAAGTCAAAGATATTGAGCGGGAGCTGGCCCAGCCTATGAATGTCGCTCCTCGAGTCATCCGCACGGTTTGTCACCGCAGGAATGAGTTCGACGTGCTAGAAGAGGAGCAGGCTAGCAGAGAAGTGAAGGAGCTGAAAGCCGACCTATCGGCGATGATGGGCCACATTGAAGTAAGTTGA